GTGTCAGTTTACCAAGAACATCCATTCTCAGATGCATGACAATTTCAATATTTTGTGTTTGATCAAGTGTTGAGTAAAGTCTATCCTATTTACTGTACATAGGTTAAGCTATTTGTTTGTTTGGAAAGCTTTTTTTTTTTTTGGTATAGTGCTTTTCAGATCCATGCAGGAAATCTACAGTCTAAATAGATGATGGCAAAAACGCATCAGAGAGAAGATGTCGCATTTCTCCCTTTTTCCACTTTGCATTGTTACACGTCACAGGGAAGCTATTGTATGCAGCTCCACTTTTCTCCCCGGGTGTCCTGATTCCGCCTGATACCATCGTCTAAGCTGGTTTAGTCCGACTATAGTGCATGATTATGCTGAGAGACAGAAATCCATTAGGTACATTATGCTATGGTTGGGTGTTTTTATTTTGTATAGCGGGGAAAACGAGCCAAAATGAAATAGTGGCTACAAGGCAGTTTGTGGTAATAGAGCAGCACCATGTGAACATCCATTGAATAATTGAAAGCAAAAAAAGGAGGACAAGACAATGTTTACAAAAGAAAAAAAAATGTACCAGTGAACAGACTTGCGGGGGAAAAAAATTCATGACGGGCGTGGCTTCCAATAAACACAGGAAAAGGACTTTGAAATCTTCCATCCTGATGAGAAGATTTCAAATGACAAGGCAAGCACATCCTGGACGTCACAATGCCAAAAGATTACATTGTGCACACTTTAAGCCCTGACTAGCTGCTGCCGAGTATCGTGATTGTGCTCCGTGCTCATCTGTGGATTCCCGGAGTAGCCGGAGATGGGATAAAACGCGGCGTGCCCGAAAAGAAGGACAACCTGTCAGGTTGAAGCTCAGCCGCGGTGATTCGTGCGGCGCTGTCAAAGTGTCAGGCTGAGAGTGGAGAAAGAGTCTGAGGAACGAGGGGAGTGAAAATACCCCTGACATTTCTATGTGAGCGAGAGAAAAAGGCTGACCTTTAAAATGGGATGCTGCGCCCTGTCAATAAAAGATATCGCGTGACCCCGCTGCTTGTCGAAAAAGATGTCCAAATAACTGAGGTTTGAATTTCTAATACCAGTTTTCCTCAAAAGACGCCCTGCCCCATTTCATGTTTTTGCCTGTATTTTATTACAGTGGAACCTCAATTTAACACACCTGGGGACCAACGGACGGAAAATCGTGTCCAGTCCACTCAAAATTTCAAGGTCTGTTAGTTCCAGAATTGATCGTAATTCATCCTCAACAGACCGAGAGGTGGGTCATGTGTTTTGCAACTCGCGCTGCTCTTTTGTCATAAACAGATTTTACAGTAGACTAGAGCAGACTGAAAACTGCGTCAAAGAGGCAGCCATGTTGGTGGGGGCGTATTTTTCATCAAAAACAAGAACCATTTCGCAAAATGAAGAAAACAAAGTATGATCTCATGAACTCTTCAAGTACGGTCTTCTTAAAAAAATTAAAAGATATATATATATATATATATACACACACACACACACACACACACACACACACACACACACACATATATATAGTGTGTGTCGTCTCTGCTGAATGTAACCTGCCATTGTGATTCTTTTTGAAGTTGAGCATTTAACCCCCCCACCACAGAATAAACAAATGAGGGAAATTGTATTCAAGTGCAATCCAGTGTCTGCGCCCAGCGAGACTCATTCATGCCTCGCACTTTCCAAACAAGTCAAATGGAGTTTAAGTGTGCTGCAAAGCCTAAAATAGCTCACGGAAACTCTACTCAAAGAGAGGAACTAAGCACGCATCTCAAGGACTACTTTGGGCTATGTAATGAAACAGGTTTTGCTTTGTTATTCCGGCATGTGTCTGCAGAGGCACGATGGCGTAGGTGGGACTGACTCAAACTGGAAGGACTTGAGAGAATGAGTTGTGGCTGGAAATGGCACAGTCACAACAGTGGTGGAGCTAATTTTCTCCAATAAATTTGAAGCAAATATTCACAAGGAACTCTTTTAGAATGGCTGAATTTGCGTTTGACATACTGATCGAATATTAGTTATTCATAAGCACACGTGAGATATAAATCAGTCAGTCGTGACGATGGCAGAAAGGGTTCCTATTGGTTAGAAAACCACCACAATGCATCGATTCCGGATTCTGTCACGCGCGCAAAAACGCATCAAGCGTACTACCCGGTGGGAAAAGGTTGTTTTGAATCCATCAACCTTTGGACAAAAAGATGTCCTCAATCTGTCAAAAAATGAGGAAACAAAAATGCAAGAGCTGTTATTTCTCAAAATGTGAACATGTTCTGAATAAAACTGAGTGCTGTGCACAAAACATTTTGGCATCGGGAAAATGACTAGAAAGCTGGTGTATATGCTACAGCCCGGTGGTCTCCAATAAACAAAACACAAAGACTGACAACCATTTCGAATAACTGAATACTTGGCCCAACATTTGACATTTTAACGTTACAAACAGAGCTCGATGAACTGCTTTGCGCAGCAGTGTAACAAAAAGTGTAACAAATTTAGTAATTGTCATACATTTTGTTTTCCCCCCATTTGATTGTTTTATATTTTACGCCCTACAAGTGTTTTTCATTTACTGGTTGGATTTACTGCAGTTACGCCAACACCAAAGGGAGTGCTGCGATTTTCTTGAAGGCTCATTTAATCCCACCTGGAGATTTGCGGTGACATCTGCAGGCTTCACTCGTTGCCTTTGTCCTCATCTAACGACCGTTCACACTTTAAAATAAATGTTCATTTAAAAAAAATGTGTTCAGCTTTGTGACACTAAGTTTTTAAACCACCCACGGTCATGTTAGGTAACCACTGACAGTTGGTGTCGGCAAATGAATGGTTTACAACCACTTTGAGGTGGAGTGATATGTTAAGTTTGATGTTCCAGTCCTGGTACTGTTCATCATCAGTCATGGAATTGCTTGGGCAGAACTAACGTTATTTTTGCTACAGGATCCTGTTTTCTGAGACGAATGTATTTATTTGGTGACATGAAGACACCCTTTTTTTCTAGTGCCAACTGTGAGGTTCTTTCTTTGTAAAAAAATCAAGCCCAGGGTCAGTTGTTTCATTTGAAAGACCTTATTGAATTCAACGTGCGCATTTCTCAGCATGATCGCCGAAATGAAAAACGATTGCAATGATTTGTGCATGACATCACAAGTACAGCGGGAGCCAATCAGGTCTCAATGTGAAATGTGAAACCTGAAACCTTTGGGGGGGATTAACACTATGCAGTGGAATTCATAATGGAATGGAAGAAGTGGGGGGCATCTTTTCACTTCTGCACATACATACACAAAAATGATGATTGCATTTCTACATTCAAAGAGATTCTATTACAGATCAAAGCCATTTCAAGATTTTCATTTCTGTGATTGCATTCATGTCACAAGATCCTGACATTCATTTTCTCTACGGGTTCTTGTAATTTAACAATGTACAGTGTTTATGATGGTGTCCAACTGTAACATCACACTGACGTTCCTCATATTTGCTTTGTCTTATTGAGAGACACGAGAAGCTCACAAAAAACAGATTGAGGCGCTGTTTATATCCAGGCGAGTACATCCTTGTTTTCTGCATCGCACATGCCTCCACGGTTGAGGTTCCCTTGAGCCAGGCACCTAACTCCCCAGGCACTAATTAAGTCAGCCGACTGCTGCGGTGTGGCACTACTGCACGTTGTCATAGTGATGGGAAAAAGCATGTAAAATGGAGGTTTTTGGTGAACATCCCTGTCAACTACAACCACAATAACAGACCATGTCTTACGTTTGTAAAACTAACGATGACTATAATTAAAGTGAAGAAGTCCTCTGTTTTAATCTTTGTCAGTTAATATCATACATGAGCTTTCGGGGTTCATTTTAAATGTTTTTTTTCTTTTGTTTTTTGCAGCAACAGTTAGTGAGCAATTTTTTGAAAAATGTGGTCAAACGATTTCTTGCAGCTGTCATTGGCCACTCTCAGTTGAAGTTTACTGTAAGACTAAACATAAAACAAAATCAAATTACACATTTTTTTTCAAAACCAACCACAAAGTTTAGCCTTATGAAAGTCGTTTAGCTTAATGCCAACGAACATCGCAGGACACCAGGGACAGGCTAACAAAACAATACCCATAAAGTATGTATTATATATACTAAACTAGTCTTTGGTTTTAAATTTTTAAGACATGCTGATGACCCTGAGTTCCTTCAACTTTTTGTTACAATTTTAAAACACTGTCTAGGATTAAAAACGACCACTACATTTTGCAAATCTGAAGTTATTCAAGAAACATAAAAAAAAATAATAATGCTAATATTTTCCCTTTGACTGAAAAGGAATATTGGCTCCGAGTATAGGTTACTGGCTTCCCCTCCTTAACTAAGCCTGTAGCTGCTGAGCCAAGGATTGCAAGTGTTTGCGTACATAGCAAATGTTTGTTTGGGGTTTTTTTTGTTAGGGTTCATTAAAGGTTGTAAAGACGTTCAATATACGACTTTCTTGTTGCAAAGAAATGTGGAACTTGCTCAAAATTTGATGGCAAAAAAAAATTAATACTGTGTGCAACCATTAAAATTGTTTGCGAATGTCTGGCGAACGTCTTTGCGACCTTGAACGAACCCTGACCAAAAAAACCAAACAAACACATTCGTTACGTAGGCAAATCTTCACCGCCCAGTGAGATGCGCCTTAATAATGGATATCGCTCTATATATTATACTACCTCCTAGTAGCCAAGGCGCACACACCCGAGGAGACCATTTAAAAAGCATAAAATGATGATGGAAACACTTCAATTCATCACATTTTTTTCATATTTGTTATATGCATGCTTTTATGAAATACAAAACTTAAAGAGTACTATTTTGCTTATTTTACAAAGCGTTGTAACATTTGGGGGGGGAGGCGTTGTAATTTTTTTTTTGGGGGGGGGCAGATTGTTGACGTTTCTATAAAACGAGATTCTTTCAAAACAAGACAAAATGAGGCCATGAACAACTCACAGTGACACCATCCCAGGTGGCAGCACCAATGCAGCTTGAAGCACTTTCCGTGGCTGTGCGTGGCGCAGATGGAGAGTCCGTCACACGGGAGGAAGTCTGGTCTCCCCGCGCAGCTTTTGGCCAAATTCTGCGCCTCGTCCAACTTCTCACTCTTCAGACACTTTGGAGCACCGGAGGCGGCCATAACAGCATCGCCCGAACTTCACTTCCACGCCGACTCCCCCTCCGAAAAAAAAAAAATCAAGAACGCAACACTTTTGGGGAGAAGAACTACAACATGACAGCAACCGAGCGCCGCCGCGGTGGGCGGGCGAGCTCCAAGTAGGAAGCCTGCCCGGGGTGGAGGCTCCGACTGCGAATCGCTGGGCAGGAATACCGTTCGTCGTCACTTAAAAGGCGGCGGGCAACCTCTTTCGTAAAAAAAAAAGTGCGTGAAGCTCGACGGGCCGGGGCTGTTCTTGTCCTCAAAGGCTCTCACGGTGGCGTTCCACAGCTCTCCCCATCTTGGCATCCAGCCCTCGGGAGGCTCCACTGTGCGTATGTGTTAGTGTGCGTGAGCTCCTCACTCACACCATCTCAACTTCACCACACGGCGGGAGGAGTCGGAAGACACGAAGCCAGCTGCCCACTCGCGAAGAAAAAAAATGAGAAAGGTACCCTCCTACACGTTCAGCAGCTTACACAACGAACACATTCGTTGAAGAAGACGGAATAGTCGCGTAATATGAAATAGTAAGATACTGTAGTTCCGGTTGAGGAGGCTGCGGCCGCTCGGTGGCAGCACCCTCAGCTGCTACTCCTCCAAGGTGGGCGTGGGATCGCAATCGCACTGATTTATACAAAAGGAGTTCCTGGCCAGCTGAGTCAGCACAAACATCGGACTGCTGTTACTATTTCCAGAATTAGCAGATGGGACGATAGATTGTAATTACTGCTCTGAGCTGGAGTTAAATGAGTTTTTAAATCCAGTAGAACAGCACGATGGATCGTGGTGAACAGGGGCGTAGCAATAGAATTTGGGCCCCTCCCTATAAATAATAACCAGGGGCGTCGACATTTGAATTGAATAACATGACCCCCCCCCCCCTTTAAGTTTTCCCTTGTGGAAGCAACACTCATCATCAAACCAACGATTTGCCAATGTGCGGATCCATGTTTGTGGTGCATGCAGCAGACATCATCAAACACAAAAATGTGCTTGTGATGCTTAATAGGCAGATGACAAAGTATTTTCTTGGTTTTTATGAGTGAAACCGTTTCCTGTATTGTATTTTATTCTTATTCGACGGAGCAGGTGTTAAAACTGGAATATGGCATCAGCTGTACATTCAAGTGATTTATCATGAAAAAAAAATTGCAGTTGGTTGTCTCAGTGCAGGGAATCTGGGAAATGGTTACGGATGTTGAGTGGCTCACGCAATTCAAGATTAAACTGCAAATTGTACCCTGGAGGTTATTACAGGCCAGAGTTGCACAACATTTTTTTTTTCTTCACTCAATGTGAGTTTGACATTTTTAATCAAGTCAAGACTCACATGAGCTGCGCCTGAACTTGGCCTCTTTGTGTTGCTCTCTTTCATCTCCTACACGGCGCACAATCGGCAGCTACCGCTGCGCCAGTCAGATAGAGCTTAGGGTGCGCCAACTGCACAAGTCACATTGTAATCTTTGCAGTGTAATCGTCGGATTTAGATGCCCGCCTCCATCCCCAATGAGATAAAAGTCAAAGGAACACCATTTACAATGATATAATACACGCAAAGGCTCTAAATCCTGACGATTAGGGGGGAAAAAAGGGGATTCAAGAAAAATGTACCTCAAGTAATAAATGGGATGTAGAAATAAAATTTGACTTGTGGGGCAACCAATCTTGAACTGTAGCCATGTTACAGGCTATTTTGTTTTTTATCAGTGGAACATTTAGATTTATTCATAGTGGATGAAGGCAAACTGGACTAGTTGAACGGTAGACATGTAATAAAACGGAGCAGACGTGGCATCAGTAAAGGTGACTTTTCCGATGCGGTTTTCTCTATTCGCGATGGGGAATTCTGTGGAAAAAGCAGCTAAACAGTTTGCCAATAACCCAAAAAAAGATTTACGGGTTGGGAAAACAACCAAAAGGTGTGCTGTTTACAGCAGAGAATGCTTTTGTTCCATGCAGAAGGAGTCTAAAGGCAGAAAAGTTCAAGCGTATTGATTTTCTTTGGCAAAGTCATTTGAGATTCAGTGAAGTTGTTCATCATAGTGTCGGCACAGTGCTTTGACCAAAGCTTTGTTTGCGGCACATCACATTGAGTCATTCTTCTGACACCGTTGAGATGGAACTTCCAAAATCATTTGGAAAATCAAACTACCGTATTGGCCCGAATATAAGATGACCCTGATTATAAGATGACCCACTTTTCTCCAGATTGTTGCTACGTTTCTCCATTTTCTGTTGTCTCTTCTATTATTTTCTTCTCTCTTCTTTCTTACTGCTATTTTTTATTTTTCTTCTTCGTGCTACCGCTATTTTTATTTTTATTCTTCGTGACAGGGGTTCACTTTGGACTGGGGAGTCATGTTCAGCATTCGCTTCAATGATATCTGGCGCCATCTAGCGTCGTGAATGGGTATAATGTCTAGACCCCGAATATAAGACGACCCCCACTTTTTCAGTCTTATTTCAATGCAAAAAACACCGTCTTATATTCGGGCCAATACGGTAAGTATTTTCATCCTTTGGAGCCTGCATGTATTGTCATTATGCAGTTTGTATTTTTCAGGAGGCGATTAAAAAAGATTGCAGATTTATAGGTGGCTCTGAGTTTTCTTGATGATTTTTCTCCACTTGTGGATTGGCGGGCTGCCGCTGGCCACCAACCTGCGTAGAAGGCTGCAGGGCTGAAGGGAAGGCACATCTGGGTGGGCCCGCAGGTAGTGCTCCAGCCTCTCCAGGACCTTGATCAGGCCCACCATACTGGCGTAGTACATTGGACCGCCGCGGTGCTTGGGCCAGCCGTAGCCGAGCACATAGATGACGTCGATGTCTTCGGGTCCAGCTGCTATTCCTTCCTCAAGGATGCGGAAGCCCTCATTGATGAGGGTGTACAGACAGCGCTCCAGGACCTCCTGGCATTCTATGCGGCGTGCAGCCAGGCCATGTCGGGCTCGATAATCCTCCAGAAAGTTGTTCAGCCATGGGTCAGGCTTGGCTTCATGACGGTTGTCATAACGATACCATCCTCGGCCTGTTTTCTGTCCAAACCGCCCTTGCTCATAGAGGAGATCCCCGAGGGGGCTGTACCTGCGGCCTTGTCGGACTCGAACTGAGGCGCCAGGCTGCACCAGACCTTCTCCCTTCCTAACCCTCCAGCCTACATCAATCCCGGAGAGGTCAGACATTCTGAAGAGCCCCATGGCAAAACCAAACTCCTCCAGCGCTCCGTCTACCATCTCTGGTGTGGCTCCCTCTTCTAACAAGAACAAGCCTTGTTCCAGGTATGGCTTCAGCATGCGGTTCCCCACAAATCCGTGGCAGTTACCCACAGCCACGCCCACTTTGCCCATTTGTTTGCCCAGATTCATAGCGGTGGCCACAGCTTCGGGAGAGGAACGCGAGCCATGCACCACCTCCAGCAGCTTCATGACGTGTGCTGGGGCGAAGAAATGCATCCCGACCACCAGCTCTGGGTGGCGGCTCTGCGAGGCCAGGAGGTCGATGTCTAAGGCGGACGTGTTGGTGCACAAGAACGCTTCTGGTTTACAAATGGCAGACAGATGCTGGAAGAGTTGCTTCTTCAGGGCCACGTCTTCAAACACAGCCTCGATGACCAGGTCAACATCCGCTACTGCTTGGAGGTTTGCACTATAGGTGATCAGATCAAGTGGAGGGGCCCCCCCTCGTCTCTTGGCCCCTCGCTGTAGCATGCCTGATATGGCCTGCTGTGCCTCCTTCAACGGCTTCTCCTGGGCCTCCACAGCAATCACAGACAACCCCGCCTGAGCAAGGGAAACTGTTATGCCTCTCCCCATTGTCCCAAGACCTAAGCAGACCAAAAATGTAAAATACAAGATGATTAAAGTGACTTCTATTGAACAAAGTTGGATGTGTCTTTTTTAACTAGCTTCATATTACAATCTAGTGCATCACATCCGGACCTCCTTATGTGTGATATTTACAACACCAAAATGCTTTTTTTTTTTTTGCCTTGAAGAAGACTGTGCGGTTGCTTCCAAGCCTGCAAATTTAATGCACAAGCTGCAAAGACTCACACAGCCAGAATGCTCAACGAGCAGCACTCCCTGTAGGGAGGACGCTTTGACTTACACCAGTTGGACTGAAAAGGCTTGGTATTAGCAATATGCTAGACTGCAATATCCAGAGCTAAGTCAAAGTAAGCAGAGAAAGTTCATGTTAGCATGTATTTACAGTTAGTCCTTTTAGCCTTGGTTCACAAGATGATCAAGCTATGACATTTCATGGTTATGAATGGATTACAATGAATGAGTTTGCATCACTTCCAGCGTGCGAGCTAACTAACCAGTGGAGAAAGGCTAAGGACTGTCTCCAATTTGCTCCAATCATTTTTTTGAATTTTTGTTTTGCGGGGGCATGAAAAACAGTTTGGTGAGGAGCCATTTTACGAATAAAAACCTTCAGAAGTTTAAAGCCTCAAGCTGTGCCGCTTTCTTTTTTGTTTCAACAAGGCAGCTGCTGCTAAGATCTTTAAAAGGACTCCTTCAATATGATTTTTTCATGGAATGGAAACATACAAAAGAATCTAAAAAGTCAGCGTTAATAGTCGTAGTTTATCTGTAATTAACATGGCTATTTCATGTCAATATTCAAATACTCAAGTCTTACCGATGACCGCCGTTTTACGGATCGGCCTGGGCTTGCTGCCGTCCCAGCGTGCTCCACTGGGCAGGCTCCACCTGCCCACAGCTCTCTGAGCAAAGAAACTGTACTGTAGAGCGCGAGCCTGGCCAGAGGTGAACAGCGTGGCCATCAGCTCCTTTTCCCGCTGCATGCCCAGGGCGTAGGGCATAGTGGCGGCCGCCTGCAGTGCTTGGACACAAGCCACCGGCGCGATGGCTCCACGGGCGCTCTGGCGGACCTTCTGCATCGCTGCCTCAAAGAGGGCATCCACATCGGGAGGACAAGGGCACGGGCGCTCGCTGACACGGCGGCCGTCCAGAGACCGTTCTGAAGGTGAAAAGAGCTGACTCAAAGGGCTTTTTCTGACAAACAATTGCATTACTGTGCAAAATTCCCAAACGTCCACCATTAGATTATTATTTTAGGCATACTATCATTACCATATATAGGGTGGGCCAAATGCAGGTTTATATTTAAAAAGTTATTACATTCACAGTGATATATTCTTTAATTTTTCAATTCACTTTACTTGTCCCCTAGTGGCGATTTTTTTTTTAAAAGGGCAGCACAGCGTCCTAAATGACGTATAAAAATGTACTAATGTCGATTCAGATTAAAAAGAACAACATAGCAGTGCACACAGGACAACACATGATTAAAAGAGGAGAAAAAAAATGGGCATTAAAGTGCATTTAGCGGTTGATAATTTCAAGAATAAATGGAGGAGATGGACAGCCTTGGGGCAAAGGCCGTCACAAATTTGAAGCCTCAATGACCTACTTGGTGATTTATTTTAGATCTTTAAAATTCTGTATGGTTAACAACACTCTTCTCAGTGTTGAGTCAGATTTACTTGACTTTTTTTTTTTTTTTTTACTTCATCGGGAAATTAACATTTGCGGGTTTTTACTGTTTTTGATTTTTTACTGTCAGACTGACCTCACATTTCCCATTGTCTGCCTTCTTCAATGGTGGACTCACTGTGTGTACTCGCACTTCTAATTTGGAAGTAAATTTCTTGGTGAGATGCTACGGGAGGATTCAATATCAAAGAGGTCTGGTGTCTGCGCTGATTTCAATTTGGGGGAGGAAATGGAGGAAAAAAAAAATCTACTCAATTCCTCATTCCTGTTTCTCCTGACATGATTACACAAGACAGCGGCTGGAATCCTTCACAACGTCGCTGAATTACCCTGAGCTCCAGAAAATGGGTCACCGTGGCAAAGATTAAACGGTCGCTCACCAATCCACTGTCTCCAATTTGCTCCAATCAGCAGATCACATCACGAACAGTGAATCAAGAATGAATGAAAGGGTGGACAGTAATTTCAGGCTTTAATGTTATATCCTGCCCAACAGTTAAAAGTCGACATTTAGGTGCTGTGGCAGTGGAAGATGACCGACCACAAGGGAACTTTACTTCATTCAGCCATTAATCTGTAAATGGCTGCACTATTTCGATGGATTTGTTGTGCGGTGAGAGGGTGGTCCCAACAGATGTGACGGGCAGATGTCACAACCGCTGCGTGAAAATACTTAATCCCGTCAGTATACGCATGTGTGGGCTGTGTCAGGGACACGTGCAACCATTCAACTGCACACTCTTGTACTTGTGACACATGGATGCTCTCCACTGGTTGGCTCACGTGCTCACTCAGTCGACGTTGGCTTTATGATGTTGATTCCATGTCAACCGTTCGTAACCCCGCCAATTAAAACAAGATGGGAGCATCCGTTTGAATAAACAAAGATTTCAGTTTGACTAACTCTCATCCATGTTGTGTTTCTCTGTACGTTTCTGCCTGACTCGCTCGCGTCCTCATTTTTATCCAACAACCCTGCCTGAAGTCATGTTGGCTGGCAGAATGCAGAAAATGGGAAATGCTGAAAGCAAACCAGTCTCAGTCCGCTCTTAATCATTAAAAGCTTTAAATAAATAATACTTACTACCAATGATAACATTCCAAAGTGAGCTAGCTTAGCATAAATTGGGCTAGCCTAGCTTGACTGTCCATCTCGTACCAATGTTTCTATCTTGTCAAAACATGGCATAAAACGTTTTACAGGTTCAGAGAGTCAATTTCTAGATGTTAGTTAAAATTACAGGACTATTTTTGTCAGAGTTCTTTTTAAAAACATAACATTTAAGTGAGATTTATTAAAGAATTAGGATTCAATAATTACTTGTTAACTCATGCTTGCTTGAATGGTGGCAGGGAGCTATTTACTCAGCTGCAAGTACAAGGCCACATATGTGCCTGAGAGGAGGCATTTACTTATACAAATGCGGTTATAATATTTCGTCAAATTTAATTTTCAAATAAATATTGACTGATTTTTAATTCAAGTAATATAAGCAGCCACATTTGACCATTTGCGCAACATACCGGAACACACAATGAGACAAACAAACTAACAAATAAAATCTGCCTTTGCAAAGATTGTACTCTGTTATGTTTCTTATTATGGTTGAAGTTTTTGCAACAGCGCTGCATCGTTAAGAGATGCGTCATATTTGTTTTCGGTTACCTCAACTACTTTCAAGAGAGTTAAAAAAATTATTAGGAGCAGCCTTTGGTGTGAACATTTTTTTCCAACAGTGCCAGTCCAAACTGAGCATACCGTAATTGTGTTTGTAAAGGCAGAACCCTTGAAACAGCTCGTGCGTTGGAGCTCATATATTGAAGGTGGTATGTTGTGACTGGTCAAAGCATGCCGTATTGTAACAAACAGCCTGTAAAATAATACATATTTATATATATACCGCAATGAATGACTCACTACTATCTTGCCACCAGTGCGTTTACTTAGCAACACCTGTTTGAGGTCAGGCTTTTTTTTTTTTAATTAGACAATGCATGATGAGTAAATATGGTATTGTCATTGAAGGTGAAGGTGCACCAAAAGTAATTCCTAGTATCCCAACACGATGTAAATCCCTCAATTGTTTTGCGTCTGGAGAACAGAGCAAACACTTACCCATTCATGATTCGGATTAAAAAAAACGAACGCCAATATTCAACTAATTAAAACAAACAGATGAAGACTGCCTATGAATACTCTGATAATGTTTGTCCCTTTTGCCCCTTCTGAATAATAGAGCAAAGGCTGCGGAGACATCAGAGCACGTCTCACGCGGCCATGAAACATTCATGGCCGCAGCTGAGTATTCTCATCCCTTTCACTTCCCTGACAATTGTAGATGAAAAAATTCTGCACAAATGCAATTTCTTTTGTAGAAAATGCCCTTCCCCACCAGCAATGGGATATCATGTGAGTGGATGGCAAGCTGTATGTGCTTTGCTTTTTGTCTGACCTGCAACACTCTTGGCAAACTTGACAGCTGTATCCACGGCGCTGTAATCTGTAACCTGATCCACTATTGAGAGTTTTAGCGCTTCGGCGGTGGTGATCTGACGCCCTGTGAGACAAACATGACAGTCAGTGAGTCTATGTGCTTCAAAAAAAAAAAATCACTGGCTGAGAAAAAGAAGTAGTGTTCCAGATAGTGCTGTTATTTTTTTCTTAATTCCTATGATGAATCATGATGATAAAGGCTGCCCTCTGCTGGCCATTTCAGTGCACTAAATTTACATCAATGAAGCGTTTGAGTAGTGTCACAAGTACAAATCAAAAGCCATTTCGCATATTAATAATCCTATGCCAAATATCATGTATTTGCACACTGAAACTGTATGCAAAGATGTGGCTGTGAAAGCATTTTTCACATTACCCTCCTTCCCCCCAAAAAACAGTGAGTCCATTGCAAAGTGTAAAATAGCAAGGGAAGGTATGGTTGTTGTGACCAGTGGTGATGAGAGCTATAGCTGCCGGTAGTCCGGTGAGCCTTGGCAAACGTTGGGTTCCACCTGCAGCAGGTAGCAGACCCAGAGTCACCTCTGGAAGCCCCACTTTAGCCTGAAATTAAATGGATGTATGGATAAGCAAATGTGAATGTGTGCCATCTTCTCTACTACCAATCAGAGTTTTACTCCATCTTTTCAATATCTTGTAAGCCTGCATTGTGTGTTATGGTGCCGTATGTTCTCAATTGCTTCGTGCAACCTCTAATAGATGCACCCCCGCCTTAGGACAAAATAAAAAGTTAGATTTCCCTTGATGCGGTTTAAATTGTATAGTGCCACCTTTGTATTTGTTCAAATAATTGGCTTCTCTCAAATAGACATCTCGGGCATGCTGAAGCCTATCCTAGCCGTCATCAGGCAGTAGGCAGTAGGCAAAGTGGTTGCCAGGCAATCACAGGGCACACAAAGACGGACAACCATTCACGCTCACAGTCACATCAAGGAACAATTTAGGGTGTTCCATTAATCTGTCTCAGACAGCCATTTCAATTAAAAAAAAATATGAACTGTAATGTTTGAGATTTTGTACTTTAACCAAGTGAAGTACTTTGTGAGACCTGAAAAATGTATTTACTTCGATCTGAATATTGAACTTACCTTGGTGTGAGCTATTCGATAGTGACAGCCAAGTGCCAACTCCAGGCCTCCGCCCAGAGCGACCCCTTCTATGGCCGCCACCACTGGCTTATCCGCCATCTCTATGGCGTGGATCATTGGCACCAGTGGAGGCCCAGTCATGTGGGTCCCAAACTCTCTGATGTCTGCTCCTGTTAATAAAGACATTTTGTGTATGCAATATTGTCTGTGAAAAGATTGTATGGATATTCTGCAATGTACAGTAAGCTTGTCAAATGGTATAAGTAGTTTAATGTGAGGCAAGGACTCTTAACTCATTTTTAATGCCCCCCACTCCCCGCAATTTGAACAGTAAAACAGTTCCCAGACGTCTTTAGAGCATGTTTGTGACATGCTTTAGTCCAAATACACTAATGATCAAAAATCTTCTCTCATTAAAATTAGCAGGGGCAGCTGAGGCATCGCCAAGTGGCCTGCCACTGTGAGGACCTGAGTTCAAAAACCATCCACCCCCTGGCCGTGGAGATCTCCTCAGCCTAGCTTATGCCATAGGCGGAGAAACAGTGTGGGGCCATAATTATACACTGTACTTTAGCACTACTGTTATATCCCAGTGGGACAAAAATGCATAGGGCAGATTTATTTCATGAATTTGGTAAATATTTACTGGGTTGTGTAATTGGTAACTTGATAGGTGGCAGGTACGCCCACCCAAAACAACCATTTGTATACTAGTCATTTTACACAAAATGTCCCCTTTCATGTGATTTACAGCAAACAGTAGTGTTTTACGCTGTACTTACCCCCACAAAACACTCCATTCTGGCCACATATCACAACAGACTTCACCTCAGGATCACCGAGTGCTCTCTTCACGGTGTCCACGATGCCCTGACGTACTGCTGCGCTGTAAAATACAGGACACACTTCATTGTAAATTGATTTTCAAATGATCTCAGCGAGAGAGTATTAGTTAACCCATAGATTTCAGGTCTGAGTGGACCCATTGAATGCAATCTCCTGATATGGAATTAACGCATACGGGGCCTCATCAGATTGTGCAGATTCAAAAGAAGGAAAAAAAAAACTCATAAAATTCTGCACATCAAAATTCTGCACAACTTACCTCAATGCATTAACAGGAGGATTTTGAAGCGTAATCAAGCCAACGTTTCCCGAAACGCGAGAATATTGAGCCATTTTCCCACACAAGCAATGGCGCTCTTTTTATTGCGTGCAGTGAACTTTGTAACGTCAATGTTTTTGCTGACAGAACTACTTCAACTTTAGCACACTGACTTCGCCCTGCTGCCGTAACAGCGTCCTCAGCTGTTTTCATCGTTCACTTAAATGGAGCACAACTCGGGGCGATCAAGAGCATTTGCGCCCCCTAACTGGCCTAACTAAAAAAACGAGTAGGTATTGTGTTTATTTATTAACTATTTATAAATACTTTACCACCATCTAAGTTAATGTATATTTTACACCCAAATATTCCATCCTGGTAAAAAAAAACTGACTTCATTATTACATCATATAAATCATACGGAAGATGTATTGTGATGTATTGTACAGCATTGTATTGTATCATTCAACGAGTGACGTCACGATTTGGGCGGCCCTCGTGTGTTTCCGCTGTTTCTTGTTTCAGTATGATATATTCTCAATTGACTCACTTAAGTTTCCACTCAGATACTATTAAAAATAATGTTACAATTTCTCGCTCAAATACAGCGACCGCAGGTGAACACTGTTGGAGGGAAAGTGAGGCTCTTAAAAGGATGGTTCGCGTGGGAGTGTCACGTGACCCAGCTATAGTTTCAACTGATTTTTTTTTTGTTGCAGTAATAATGCAACGTTATTGAACGCCCACTCAAATGACCAGACGCTCTTCATTTCAAATGTTATTTATATTTCAACTTTAGGGTCGAATGACAACCGTAAACAAACGAGCGTTGTTGGGAAATGACGTCACAAAGTACGGACTACTGTCAGTGTCTGCGCCTGTCACGTGACCCAGCTGCTTTGTCTGTCAAAAAACAAAAAAACAAAACAAATATAAGAACGTGAGTGGCGACTATGCGGTCACTCATCGGACTTGTGTCCGTGGTCGTCGCTGCAACTGTGTACCTATATTCACTGTCTCTGTACTTGCCCCCCGGACCGCCGAGACCCGCTCAGACCTCAGCCGAGACCCAACATGCCGCCGCCGGAGCAGAAGGGTCCGAAGTGTCCGCTGAGAGAACCGAGGACACAAGAAGCAGGTTGGAGTATTTCTATTGATTTGGAAGGTTATGCTCATGTGAGTGGTGCTAAAGCTAACTCATTTTGTGTTGCAGAACTTGTGCGTTTTCGTTATTAGATAGAGCTGAAGCCAGCAGGGTTATGAAATGAACACTTCTATTATAAACAGTCTGTATAATAATACATCTTATATTCCCCCTCATGTTACAATTCTCGAACTGTGTTTCTATCTTTATTGTGGCAGCATGTTGTAATACCAAGCCTTTTTCTCCTAATATTAATTCCTTACTGTTGTAATATTACAACTCTATTCCAGTAATTTTCTTAAGACTACCATCGAAATCTAGTTTTAATACAGTACAATAGAATACATCCTGATTTATATAGCGCTTTCACAACAGCTGCAGCTCTAACAAAGCGCTTTACAAAACAGTTAACATAAAGTATATAATAAACATATGAATATGAAAGGAATTATTGAGAAGTCTGTGGAATGGCTTTGTTGTTTTTCAGAAGTCTTTTTATTTTATCTCATAAACATTTGTTTGTTTGTTTGTACAGGTCATTTGTCTGAGCCGTCCCAAGCCCAATTCTTTACTTGAAATGTTTTCAAATCCAGGTTTAAAACTATGCTTTTTTTCATGCTGATGATTAAGGTCTTTTTATAGAATTTCTATAATATAGAATATAATTCCATAACAATTATATATATTTTTTCAAAAAATTACTCGTATGTTTTTGCGCTGTACACTCTTTTAGTAATTTTAGAAAGCTACCTTTTATTTCCCTACTTTGTCTTTTGTCCAAGTCACTTGTTTTTAAAGTGGACGGAAAACCATTTGCCTTTAAATTTTCTGTTTTGCCTTTCAGTGTTTTGTAACGATGTCAAGTACATTGAGTTACCTTGTGTATGAAATGCACTATATAAATAAAGCTGCCTTGCCTTACAGATGATTGTTGTCCCAATCCAAAGCAAAACAACACTTTAGTGAATTGTGCATTTTTCTCTGGCCTGTCCGACACAAGTACACACTTTGCCCACCGGCGGGTTTTTGGTTTTTGCATAGGTTGAAATTTCCATCTGACTTGGAGGATCTGCGAGAGCTGTCCGAGCTTCTTCAATTCTACAAGACGGAGCACACGGCCTACGTACTGCTGCTCTTCTGCAGCGCTTACCTCTACAAGCAGTCTTTCGCCATCCCCGGATCCTCCTTCCTGGTAAGAAAATTGTTTACCTGACCCTGGAGAACGATTTTAAGCCTTTTTGCTTTGCATAGAACATCTTAGCGGGAGCCATATTTGGCCTGTACTGGGGTTTGCTGCTAGCCTGTGTGCTCACCACGGTGGGGTCCACCGCCTGCTACCTCCTGTCCCAGGCCTTTGGGAAATCCTACATTGTCAGACTCTTCCCAGATAAGGTGGCCATGCTCCAGAGTAAGGTAAACACACACACACACACACACACACACACACACACACACACACACACACACACACACACACACACACACACACACACACACAAAATTACACATTTAAGAAACTGATATTTAAACACAAATACTGTAAAAGCATTTTTTTTTACAAGGCTGGAACAGATTAAGTGATTTCAATTCATTTCTATGGGTGAAGATGATTTAAAATTAGAATGTTTTCACTTACAAGTGCTGCCAGAGAATGAATAAAACTTGTATCTCAAAGCACCACTGTGCAGCATGTTTTCTTGACTTGGCTGTTTGTGCCTGACATTACTGCGTCTTTCCTTCCCAGGTGGAGGACAACAAGGACTGCTTGTTCTTCTTCCTTCTCTTCTTGAGGTTCTTCCCCATGACGCCCAACTGGTTCCTCAACATGTGCGCCCCTGTCGTCAACATCCCCGTCACTTTCTTCTTCTGCTCCGTCTTCATCGGTAAGCACAGCAGCTGATAGATGACTGTGATCACATCATGTAAAAGCGTGAAGTGCTTATGATAGTTTACATGTCAGCGAACTACTTTTCACATCTCTACTCGCTTGATTGTACTGTGAGGCGGATGTGCTAACCAGTCGCCCACCGTGCTGCCGCTATTAATTTAAATTTGTAAAAATAAATTATTGCCTTATTTATTGTAATAATGACCGAAACAATACCTGAAGGAGAAATTGAACAGACTCTTGCTATGTATATATTGAACAAGAAAGACCTTTGTTTGAGCGTAGCGTGTCGTTTTGTCTTTTAGGTCTGCTGCCCTACAACTTCATCTGTGTGCAGACGGGCGTCATGTTGGCAGAAGTCTCATCTCTGGACCACTTGTTCTCCTGGCAGCGCCTCGCCCAGCTTTTGGCCACAGCGTGCGCGGCGCTGCTGCCCGGTGCCCTCATCCGCCGTTACGGTCAGCGGTGCCTCAGGGGGACTGCCTCGCACCAGCCCAATGGACTCCCCGACAACAAGAACGTCCACTGAAACACTACATGGGTAGTTCTTTGGGACTACTGGACCCACTGTCAGTCAACTTGGTCTATACAAGAAAATATACAGGGAGGGACAACTTTCGGCTGTTACAAACATCTACCTCACAGCGGTATTGAAACTCTCCTGCTTTTGAGAACACTGGCTTGAAAGGGAAGCACCTTATTTAGAACTAAGTACAAAATAGCATTTGTAAATTTTGAATACAACTTAAAAGTTGAAATGAACAATCTCGAGTCAAACACACAACTTGCCAAAGTCAGGTGGGATAAGCTCAAGATCACCCCGCGACCTGAATAAAGACGAGCGCTCTACTTCAAAAGAAATATATATATATATATATAGATGGATGTTATTGTTCATTTTTTAGTGAATGTATACTTCCCCCAGGCAGCGGAAAGCCAATCAATTATTCATGCAAGCCTCACTCCGTCAGTTCATGATGAAAGCTGCAAGAGATTGCTCGGGAAGCGGGGATCAAGACTAATAGGCCACAATATTAGGTACACCCGCACAACTTAAATACAGTATGAGAGCTATACAGGAGACGTTCTGCTTTTACAAATGCAATAATACAGTGCTCAGTTTTGATTGACATGTTCAGAGATGTAGACACTGCTTTCATGTCATTTCACAACAACAGGAAATTTCATTTTATGAGTAGAAAGTCACATTTTTTTCCCTTCATAATAAAACTTCGATGAAAGGAGGACTGTACTTTCCTACAATATTAAGACATCATTGGCATTTATTCTCATCAGTGATAGATTGACGGACCTTCTGTCAGGACCGATGGAACGCCCACCTCTGTAAACATGTCACATTAGACCTTAAATATAATATTGGAATAAAAGTAAATTTTTTTCATCTTGATTTAGATTTTTTATTTTGGAAAAAAAAGTGTTATTCTCTAAAATTTAAGGTAGATCCATTGAAAAGTGGTTGAAGCATGAAGGAAACACATTTTCAGAGACTCACTTTACTGGTATGTGTGCAAGTGATTGGCCGCTTCTAATGAGAGCTCAGAGTTTCATCATTCTGCTACGTTTTCATGATGACGAGTGGACTCTGATAAGGACACCAAAGGCACTTTATTTTAACATTGACCAACTGTTGGGAAAAAAAGCAAAGAGAAGGGAGCATCTTTCAAATGGTGTTTATTGCTCAGATCCAGATTTGCTCAGCAATACAGTTCACTCACAAGTCAAACAACAGTACGCTCGAGGACCCAGAAGGCACGGATCCACCACAAAAGCGTCAAAACGCGGATCCCGTGTCAATCCGGTGCACATCATCCGTGACCTTTTGACGTGTTTGAGACCTTTCGGCCCGCGCGACATTGGAGGGGTTTCACTTGTCGAACACACACATACACACGTACACACAACACGCACACGCACGAGGAATCTCCCAAATGGCGAGATGTGTAAAACCACTAGTAGAAGTTTAGTGCTCTATGAGGCGTCTGGCATCCAAACATTATTGAACAAAACACTGCTGCACTTGTTACTCATCCAAATGCCCTTTGCACTACCGTGTCCAAATGTGCTATTCTTAAACACCTGGATCCTCTTGCCAATCTGCTTTTGTTTCTTCATTACCTCCACCAAGGAAGTTAATGCGGTCTTTGTCAGTTAAGGGGATTACACTAAAAGCAATTTTAAGAACCATTAAGGCCATGCTGCAGATAAAGATTTGCAATGTCAAAAAGACATTTAATTGTACAGCCCCCAAAAAATTCCAAATACAATTTAGACTTACATTTGATTTGAGTAACAATTATTTTTGTAATCGATTAATATATCGATTAGTCTTTCGATGAACTGATGATATTGATTTGTTTTAAAAATGGATTTCCATCCCTTTATTTAAAAACAGGACAGGACATCAAATTGAGAGTACAGAAAACACACAAACATAATTGATTCTGATTATGATTCAATTCCTGGTTTGGTCCCTAATGCGTCAAAATGTTGGCAGAAATGTTGATCATTGTTTTCCAAAGTAAAAGCAAGTGTCTTATTTTGGTGAAACTCAAAAGATAATTGGTCGACAGACTACCGAAATCTGACAGCGTTTACTGTTGAGAGCCTGAAATGCTGAAGATTTAAACTCAACAATGGCTCAAACCAATTAATCCGTTGCACCACTCGATTTAGTTTTTTGCTTGTAGTATTTTTATTTTTAGTAGCCTTTATTGAACAATGTGGACTCATTTCTTGTAGTTTTTCCGTGCTTGTATGACTGCAACTTTTTTTCACTTAACTTTATTCTTGTAATACTATTTTAACAGTCGTGGTATGCTTTTTCTTTTCAGTGTGCCCCTAATTGTGCTTAATTTTTTTGAAAAAGCTTTTTCACATTTTTCTCGTAAAATTAGAATTTCATAGTCTTAAAAATTCACATAAAATGGCAATTTGTCATAATCCAAACTTGTTTTAAAAACTGTATTCTTGTAATTTAATTGCTTTTCCAACCTTTTCAATGTGGCCATAACGAGAACTTTTTTTTTTAATTTCAACTTTATTCGTGGAATTTCTGACGTTGTTCTGTTGACTCAGTCTTTTCTTTTTAGTGTAGCCTTTATACTGCTCTGTTGTTTTGTAACATTTTTACTTTATTCTCTAAATTCCCAAACTGCATTCTCATCGTGTAATTTTTTTCGGTTCAGGGTGGGCCTAATGCTCCATTATGTCAAAGGAAACCACCCGATTCTTTGCATAAGCAAACAATTCATTTTGTACGATGCATGTCTTGAGAAATCCCAACAGGTATTGTTTTGGCCTTGGCGGAGGTCTGCGCTCAACATCGTGCCGTTTGCCGTTTTTGCTTTGAACTTCGACTTACGTCATTGAAACCCACGATGGTACGGCCAAGTCTTGGCAGCAGTCTAACCCAAATGAAACTTGAAGCTAAGAATCATCATCAAAACAGTGTCGGTGACGAGAAAACCGGATCGACAGAAGACAAAATAAATCTAGAAGGAAAAAAAAAACTATCCAACCACCATTGTGGTTATGGCTAAACATCGCTAATAATACATCCTCAGTGACGTGTGTTAAGTGTGGTTTTCCGGTACTGAATTATTAAAAGTCTAGCAACACCCCCGAAAACCTTAGAAAACAGCACAATCCTTGCAAAAGGAAGAGCGTCCAACCTTGGAGCGGGAACGCCGCACTAAAAAGAGCCCCAAAGAGAGATGGCAGATAGACAGACGGTCCTCTGCGAAGTCAAAAAGAAAAAAAAAACGAGGTCAACTAGCAGAGCGCCCTCTGGTGGGAGCGCTATGTTTACCAGCCAAGATCGGGAGAAGGAGGCAGCGAGGCTGGCTCGGAGCAGCCTCAGGCATTGCGTGAGCTTACTGTTACTACGTGTGTTCAATGGGACTCCGTGATGGTCGCTGACCGCCCCACGACCGCTGGAGGAACTAAACAAAAAACGTCAGCCTTTGATTCACAGAGGTAATTGTCAAATGTACACAGCACGAAAAAAAAAAGGTGAGGCGAACGGCGGTGGTGCTTGGGTCACAACAGGAAACAGGATATCCGTTTGCGTGAGTCGCTCTTCTAGAACTTCTGTTGTCTCACATCCACTAGTGTCACCAGCTAAAAGTCTACATTCTACTTTTTTTTTTTTTGCACACCATATTCAAGAATCGGTGTATTTTTGCAGCTTTGTGTGTCATTTTGTCTTGGGGGTGGAACAACAAAATAAATCACCAACAGAGAATTAGACGGTTGGTGTGTTGTTAAATTGCTTTTTCACATGCGATTTTTTTTTTTACCCCGAAGGTACCGTTAAGGGGGCAAAAAAGATGAAACAAAAAATTGGGAAAATGGGTTTGGTATCTGCTTGTGACAATGCTTCTCTTACCCTTGGAAAGCCTTCTAAATTCCCTTTAAATGTGTGAAGGGAGCAGCACAGCTAATGAGTGCTTGGCACGCGAAATGAAATGTGTGTGACACTGCGTGTTTGTCTACCAAAGGTTTCAAACTCAGTTTAACTGTAACATACATAAATGTGGAAATCCTGGGCGGTGCCAAAAGTCAAAGTTCACGACTTGGTTTTAAATTCACAGTTTGGTACAGAAAGTGAACAAAATGGGAAAACGGTATATTTTCTGCATTCATTCATTCATTTTCCGAACCGCTTTATCCTCACTAGGGTCGTGGGGGGTGCTGGAGCCTATCCCAGCTGTCTCCGAGCAGTAGGCGGAGGACACCCTGAACCGGTTGCCAACCAATCGCCAGGCACACAGAGATGAACAACCATCTGTGCTCACACTCACACCTAGGGACAATTTAGAGTGTCCAATCAGCCTGCCATGCATGTTTTTGAAATGTGGGAGGAAACCGGAGTACCCGGAGAAAACCCACGCAGGCCCGGGGAGAACATGCAAACTCCACACAGCGAGGCCGGAGCTGGGATTGAACCCGGTACCTCTGCACTATGAGGTCGACGCGCTAACCACTGGACCAGCGGGCCGCCCCTATATTTTCTCCTATATTATATAAAATAGCATTTTATATAAAATATTTAAAGAATTTAAGGAAATTCCAACTATTTCAAAATTGATCAATTCCGCACAGGCAATGGGATTTATCAAAACACACAAATTGCGCTTGCTGATTTTGCTTTAAATAGCACATTTGAAAGGCAGGCATAAACCAGCGTACAAAGTGTCAGCCAGCGTGGTGCACATGAAACGTAGCGCGGGGAGTACTTTTACACTTGCGTAATATTATTGCAATACCAGAAACAAAAATACATATCTAGTCATCAAAGCTATTTTGGTGACCAGTCCGGGGAGTATCCCGCCTCTTTCCCAAAGTCAACTATGACCCAAATAGGGACAAGCACAATGCTATTCATCTCAAAAATGTTCGTCCTTACATGCGCGGCATCATTTAAAAGGGGAATTCAACAAGCTTTCCAATGGTACAAGAAGCATAATATTATCAACCCAATACAAATTTCCACAACATTTAGTTTCATTTTTAGGAGGTACAGTTGTTTCGTTTCTATCATCGGATCTGCATTTGCTTTCATCCGTCTTTAGCGATGACATCGCCATTCAGACCCCCACTTCCATCCTGCTTTTCTTCTTCTTGGAACTCACGTCTCAGCAAAGCGGTCACATGACAAAGTACAGACTTCACAGGAGACGGCTCATCTTGTTCTTCATTGTTTTTTTTTTGTGTTTTGTTTTGTTTTGTAAATTCATTTAAAAAAAAAGAAAGGTGATCAAGAATGATCAGTTAACAAGGCATATAAAATGAGAAAAAAAGGTGTGTGTGTGTGTGTGTGTGTGTGTGTGTGTGTGTGTGTGTGTGTGTGCGTGTGTGTGTGTGTGTGTGAGGGGAAATGAAAGATTGGACTGAGGTACCCTGAAGCCTGAGGTAGATCACAATACTGACATGCGCACTGTTTACATCCTGCGGTGGTTCACGTTGACTGTTCTCCCATATTTTTTTTCATTTTTTTTCTCTTTATATTTGTTTTCAAGAAAATAAACAATTCCCTTCAAAACAATATGGCAGTGTCCCACTGAGGGCAAAAAAATAAAGAAAAAAGAAAACAAAGAGGACTTTTCATTTTCTTTTGTTTCATATCAATAGCTCTCATCACAAAATAGGAAAAAAATAGATTCATAAATATTACTCTCTCTTTTTATATATATATATATATTTACACTCTCTTTATATATATATATATATTTACACATGCGCGCACACACACACACACACACACACACACACACACACACACGCTCGCGCACACAGAGGAAGGTGTGGCAATAACCTTTGCGATGAAGAGTGATAAAATAAGGCTTTAGAGTGACCCGCACGGCCAGCACAGGAAATAAAACTCAAGGTCACGGTGTTTGGCCTGCTGAACAAGGCGAGGGCTGCTTTTTGTTATCTTTGTTTAGAATCAAAGTTTTTTTAAAAAAAGGCTGCGTTTGATACATTCACAGTTGTCACGCCCCCTTTTTTTTTCTTCTCTTTTTTTTTCTGCACCAAGCTCCCCGGACCCTGAGAGTGCGTTAACGCCAGCCCGCTCACGTTGTGCCATTGAGGGGCGGCACACAAGTGCCACCCCTGCCTTCACATTTGCCACCATGCAAAAACCACACAGCCATCCTCACATGACACCCCTTTAAGGCCGAGTGTGCGCACATTCAAAGACATAAACACTTTTCACCGTGACGTCACACAAGCTTCACTTTCCGCTACCTGTATTCACCAATGGAATATGACCGAAAACTTCCACATTTCAAACAGTGGAAAGCAAGCCATGTCTTTCAACAACTGTCATCTGACTTGTGGCGTGCGGACCAGACTGTGGCCACTTTAGAGCGCCTCATTGTCACGACCCGGTCTGATATATTCCAGTCACCGGAGACTTTAACCAAATATATTTTCACAACGCTGGCATGGGAATGGGTTTCAGAACATTCTTTTTTTCCCCCCTCTTCATAGCCAATCAAGGAAATGTAATCCAATGTCCATCCCGCTATTTACGTCTTATTCCGTTAGCGAACACCGAAAGCGAAAGTGACGTCACATTAAAAGGAGAAGTGGGACTAACAGTATTTAGTCCATTTGTTTGTTCTGCTCTTTAAAAGTGGTTACAGTATCTATCAATAGGACCACAAAAGTAGTCATTATTTAGCCCTCGCACATTGCAGGTGCATCTCAATAAATTAGAAAATCGGTGAAAGCTTCATTGATTTTAGTCGTTCAATTCAAAAAGTGAAACTTGTGTGTTGTAAAACGGATTAAAAAAAATAATTTGATGGTTATAGCTTGCAGCTATCTCGAGCTCAACAAACTAAACTTTGCAGCTGTTGTGAAAGCGCAATATGCTGTAAAGATGTATTGTATTAAAAAGGAAACCAAAAAAAAATTACCGGTAAGTAGAAATTGGCCATCTCAAAAGTTCATTGAATTTATGATATCCAAGCTTCACTTTTTGAATTGAACTACTGTCATGACAGAAATTCTACTTCATTGAAATGTGGCCAGGGGGGAATTCCACACGTTCAAATACCTTTATCCTCCTAAAATGACTGATGAGAGAGTGATAAAAAAAGGGAAAAAAGATTGATGAGAAGCATTGGCACACACTTACAGAGGCTTGTTACCAAAAAAAAAAAAAAAAAAAACAAACACATTCACCATATATCCGAATGGGGCTTGTACTTTTTGATTTTTTTTTTTTCCAAAGTAGGGGAACTGCTCAGTGTGTTTGCTGCTGTAAATGTCAATAAAGTCATCTACCCTGTGTTAATACTGCTAAGGATAGTCCATCTCCATCTTGTTTTAATTGTGTCGTTAATACGGTCGCTTTATCCATGTTAGGCCTAAAGTATGTTAATCCAACTAAAGAGAACAAATGTGCAGAGTGACGTGCTATTTCCTGTTTTACCTCATGAAGACGACGCTTCCTCCACCTTTTTGTTGTTGTTGTTGTTTTGCTGTTCTCGCAATATCAGTATCCCGCTGTGTGTGCTGTCGCAGGGCTGGCAGTGCACACGAACGCCCGCTCACCACCTTTGGCTCTCGCTCGCTTCCCCTCCTCGATGAAGTTCTTTGGTTCTTTTCTTTTTTTTTTTTTTTTTTTTGATCCCCCCGCTGCTGGTCTGCCCTGCGCGTTCCCTCTCGGGCCGCGGCCGTTGTCTGGCTAGAGGTTTTACCAAAAAAAAAAAAAAAAAAAACAAACACATTCACCATATATCCGAATGGGGCTTGTACTTTTTGATTTTTTTTTTTTCCAAAGTAGGGGAACTGCTCAGTGTGTTTGCTGCTGTAAATGTCAATAAAGTCATCTACCCTGTGTTAATACTGCTAAGGATAGTCCATCTCCATCTTGTTTTAATTGTGTCGTTAATACGGTCGCTTTATCCATGTTAGGCCTAAAGTATGTTAATCCAACTAAAGAGAACAAATGTGCAGAGTGACGTGCTATTTCCTGTTTTACCTCATGAAGACGACGCTTCCTCCACCTTTTTGTTGTTGTTGTTGTTTTGCTGTTCTCGCAATATCAGTATCCCGCTGTGTGTGCTGTCGCAGGGCTGGCAGTGCACACGAACGCCCGCTCACCACCTTTGGCTCTCGCTCGCTTCCCCTCCTCGATGAAGTTCTTTGGTTCTTTTCTTTTTTTTTTTTTTTTTTTTTTGATCCCGCCGCTGCTGGTCTGCCCTGCGCGTTCCCTCTCGGGCCGCGGCCGTTGTCTGACTAGAGGTCTCTGTCCGTTTTAGGGAGGGCTACATTCAATGGCCGGCGCCCGCTGGTCACTTGGAGTGTTGCGGTGAACTGGCGGCACCTCGCTGGTGTTTGTGTTCCTGCTGTTTGACCTGCTGAATGATCTCCCGGATCTTCCTCTGTGCAGTCTGTTGAAAAGCGTCAGGTCAGGCCAACGCCATTATGGCCAGTGATTTATCCCTCGCACACAATTTAAACCCATGCGGACTTATTAAAACGTATTTTTCATGTATTACTTGTATGACAAGTAATGTGATCAAATGAGATGAGGCGGTTGTCATTCATCCATGAAGGGAAGAGTGTGTGAATATTAAAAGTGCTTATTTTCAGATCGCTGAGCTCCGAAAAACTTTGTCTGCTTTGCTTAGTTTTTACCTACATCTCACCCAAACTACATTTGTCCACCTTTTAACTTTACAGGAAGAAAAAAGGACTCATATGTGTAATGTCACACTTGATGGGTGGGCACTCAATTCTGAGATCCAACTATTTGGATAATTTCAACGTCAGTTTTCCATAATATGTCCTCTGGAAAAACTAATTGCTTTAACGAAATAATCTTGCCAACAAGCAAATCAAATATACAGTAAAGAAGTATATGTGAAAAGTGACGACAACTCAATTTGGGTCAAACCTAAACGTTTACTGAGCAGTGAAAAAAGAGTTGATGGTGTGTTGGCGTACCTGACTGGCGAAGAAATGCCCGCTGATCTTCACAAACACTTCGTCGTTCTCGTCTGGAGTTTGGTCCCGCGGTACGATGACCTCAGCACTTGTAAGGTTCTGAAGCTCATTCACCTGAAATCCACACCACACCACGGTCAGCAGATCATTTTGCAAAAGGCCGATTCTCGCTCCAAAGTCGGGTAGAAAATGGACGGACGGAGGCCAACGCGACAGTCAACTCACCGTTTTGCCACCTTTCCCGATGACCCTTCCGGCTGCAGTAGAAGGAACCTTAATGTGCGTCTCCAATTTTACTTCCTCCTTGCCAGAGAAGAAGTTCTCTTCTTTCAGCTTGCCAAATATCCGACCTTGGGCCTGGACATTAGAGGACATTTGTCAAGATCACAGAGACTGCAGCCATGTTCACGTATAAGCAATGGTAGAGAAGTCACACGTCTTTTGCTGTCGGAAGGAACTATGAAAATATTTGTGAGTCAGGCCCAATTCTCTTATTCAATAATAACACCATGGTTTTTTTTTTCTTTTTTTTTTTACCTTAAATTGAGCCTCTGGCGTCCCAGTAATTATCACCATTCTCTCTGTGACATCAGGGCTGTCAGCCGGAGCGATCTGTAAACAAATCAGAGAGGAGGAATTGGACCGCACGTTTCAGTCAAAGTTTTTTCCAAAGTGAAATGTGAGAGTTCTTTTTTGAGCGCACCTTGATGGAAGCTCCAGCAAAGTGGGCGAGCTGCTTGATGTGCTGACCCTTCTTGCCGATGAGAGCTCCCACTGCCTGAGTTGGAATAAAGAGGTAGACAACCTCCTGTTCTGGAGCCTGTCAATGGAAACAAAGAAACCTTTACACACAAAGACACACACACACAACCACACACAACAATTGGAAAAACATGGGCTCAAGACTAACTAACTTTATTTGTACACACACACATAGAGAGAGAGAGAGATTTTTTTAACATCTCTGGGAAGCAGACAAGAAAGGATGACTGAGCGTGAACTCAACACCACATGAACCGAGTCTGGTGGCAAGACAGCCAAAAAGTACAAAAGGCTCCTGTCAAAATTTCCACGAGAAGACAAAAATCATGTAATCATTAGCTCTCTGTAGTAGGAATCGTGTACAGACAATCTTAAACTTTTGAGCTTCACTTCTAATATAAATGTCAAGGCTGTAGAAACGTGTGATTTCTTCTAGCCAATCAACAAAGAAAGTTTAGAATGTAAACATCATGAAATGTAATGAATATTATATTTGCATACTGCAACAATATAATTGATATGATTTATTCTTTATTTAATAATGAATGCTCAGTATTTGTATTTAATTTGAAAAAAAAGGCATCGGATCGTACCTCGACAAACTAGCGAGTCAAGTCACCCTCATCTCAAGGCACAACTGCAACATAATTATTACTTATTTTATTAACACATCTGACATTTATTTTATTGAATTGGCGAACTATAATTACAAATACAATAAATCCATTTGCATTTTATGATGAAGCTATTTTACATTAACATTTCAACACCCCTCTCCTCCCCCAAACCACACACACACACACACACACACACACACACACACACACACACACACACACACACACACACACACACACACACGCACACACTTGGACGACAACTCAACCTGACCCATGTGTTGTTTTCAAAATCCAATCACAAATGTTCACCCACTCCGCCGTGTACCAAAATAAGCTTCACATGAAGCAGAGGTAGGAACGCTCCTGTATGTTTTGACCCGGCGCCCAGCAAACAAGACTCGGCTAAGAGTTGAGCTGTTTGCCGTCTGGCCTCGTGGATTTGTGTACTTGCGGTTTATTGAGTGGATTTAATGAGCCCTAGCTCAATTCTGGGCTGGAACTCTCAATCGAGACATATTTGTGGTGTTCTGGTGGCGGTTGGTGATGCTGCCAGGCTGAGGAGGGATTATTTTGGATTTTGCTCTCTCAATGCTATTTTTCTCTTGAATCCAAATCAAGGAGTTGAGGAGCTTTTTTTTCCTTCCAAAAGCACTCGCAAAGTGACACTTTGCCACGCAGCAAAAGAAGACCTACTCTCTTGTGTTCATTTCGACTCTTAATAATTCCACTCGTGGGCCACAACATTAGGTACGCCTGCTCCTCCCACTCACATCAATGCAATAAAACTTGTTTGTCAAGATTATATTTAATCCAGGAGTGCTAATTTTCAACAATATGATCATTGTTGTGGTTTCCAGTGGTGTAGAACTCCACATCATACTGAGATTTGCTCACAATAGTTTCCGCATTTCATTTAGCAAAATAAGGTAACCAAAATAAGACCGTATTTCTTCAGCATTGCCCTCCGCTCTTATAAAAACCGCACTCCCAATAACCACCGTCTAATCTACTGTACTCAGAAATAGAATTATGGGAGACCACTGTTACCTTTACTATGACCGATTCACCAGGAGTTACAGCAGACCTGAACCCCCCCGCCCCCCAAAAAAACCCCACCCACGACAGAGATGGCACGTTATCTGTAAAGCCGAAGTTTTTAATGGAAATGAATTAAAATGCATATTTTATTGAAATTTACGGTCGAAGTTCAATCTTTATGGGAAAAATAGATAAAGTATTTAATGATAGTATAAAAATAAAAAGGAATTTGGCCTCCCTTTACACTTAATAAATGAAATGCATTTGGCGACTATAGGAAACGGTATTACGACCACATCTAAGCCTGATGCGGTACACTTTGACATCACTGCAAACTACCCGGTGTTGTGGCCAGGTGTCGCCACGGCAACCGTCAGTGTGGTGCAGCTTTTTGGAGGACATACTGAGTGCTGGTGGGGGATGGCACTTGCTGGAGGAACCCCGTACAGGCCACTGAGATGTGAAGAGTGACTCTGCAAGTGAAGTGACAAGCAGGCGGATCAGGGTGGTGCTCGTACGCACACATTCCCAGACACACTCATGCAGGCCGACCCGGGGGGAATTTTTCGAGGCATGAAGTCGCAGTGAATCACGCTCTGTGAAGCCCACCGATTCATTCTGGCCCATTCGGTCTCATGCTGCTCAGCTTGGGATGCCGGCAATGAGTGGAGACTTTGTTTCACACGCACACTGACTCATCTCTGGGGAGTATTGAGGTGGTGGTAGTGGTAGTGGTTTTGTGGGGGATTCAAACTGTGTACCACAATGCGATCCTTTTATCACAGTTAAGCAAAGGCTGTCAGGGATACCTGATGCACAAGGCTGGCCAACAAACTATTTCTTTAAGAATCAGCAGCTATATGCTGAGGCCTGTCTCACACAGAGCGATGTGACCAAACGTGACCTGGACAATTGCAAACAAATCCCAATGAGTGACTCACACCTGCACACCTGGCGAGAGACCGTTGCAAACATACCAAGTCGATGCCATGAAACCCTGGTGTTCTTATTAGGATTTTTTTTTCACATTTTGAAGGGCCACACACTGTATACACACACAAGTGTATTTTTTATTGAACCACAAAAACGTGGAGTGGACAAGTGGATTGCCCTGGCATTCTCAATTTTTTTTTTTAACACATTTTATTGCAGCGTTCCTGACTGCCCCTAAATGGGGGCATTTTGCCCCCAAACTTTGAGACAGCGCAACTAAAATGTTCATATACTTACACTTGTGTGACCATTAACGTGTGTCAGTGTGTGTGTGTGTGTGTGTGTGTGTGTGTGTGTGTGTGTATAATTCTTGAATATTTTTTGTTGCTTCTGTGCCACACGTCCACCCCTCTATCAGTAATGTAGTGAAAATGAGTGGAAATGTGAGTATTTACTGGTAAGCCAAATTTTGATTCATGTGCACCCCTAAAATTTCCTGTGAGGGGCCACTGTGCTCCTCGTAATAATTAAGTTAGTCTTGAGCCCTGATTTAGATTATAAGTTACAGGTCACAGGTGGGAAAAGTTTTTAAATGATTTATCTTGGTCTCATTTTTTTATATCACAATACCTGGCATTTGAATAGAGGCGAGTAGACATTTTATATCCACTCTAATTACTGTATTTGGAATGCTTGGGGGATTTGGCTTTGTACCTGGAAATGTATTTTTGGGGAGAAAGCTTTGAATCACAGCACATCTGTTCAAGAAAGCGTAACATTCAGTACACACACACACACACACACACACACACACACACACACACACACACACACAAATTCTCCCTATGAGGTTATTTTAAGTGTCTTTAGGTCCCTTGACTGTTATTATTATATGATCAAACCATGCATTTATCCTCATCAAGGTGGTGGGTAGGCTGGCTGTGGACAAGTGGCAGAGTGCACCCTGGACTGAACGCCAGCAAGTAGGGCATATAGACAAGCAACCAGCATTTGAGTCTGCCCCATTTTGAGAGCATGCTCAAAAATTCCCCATACTGTATTTAGCAACCATCTTTTTCCTGGTGACAATGTGCATTTGGTAGTGGTTGCGGGTGTGACATACCCCCCAACCAAAAAACAGAAAAATAAAAAATCGTGCTCAGTAGCACCTGGCAATACATTTTTGGAAAACTCTGACTCAGAAGATTGTTTTACAAATCAACATGAAATTTGGTAGATGTATGTCATGACGAGTAGACTCACAAAAATGAACCAATGCCTGAAAAGACAGGAAGTTTGCCATTTTGCTTTGAAACGGTCATTATGGGTCATTTAAGTATAAATTATGTTTGGTAGTATGTCCTGGAATGTTTGAAAAAAATCAGTCCTCAAAGCCAGATTCACTTGGCAACATGAACTTTGTTAGTGGTCTGTCCTGAGACCCACAAAAAAAGCTGCAGGAACCTCCACTTGAAATATCACAGGAAATCTGCCATTTGGTGTTGAATTGGTGATTGCAGCTTGTTACCAAATTTGAACCATGTGGACAAAACAGATGGACAACATGACACATTTTTCTTATTGTGTGGGTGGAGCATGACAGCTAAGACGGATAGCTTTCCATAAGGTCGCACCCTTAAGAGATTCGTAGGCGCTTCTGCTTCTGATCTTCCAAACCATGTATCATTCTGGCATACTTTCGCGGGTAAGGGGTTGCCAGGTGTATGTCATTCATCGCAGCTTTCATTTGTTATGAAATTGCATGGTGAGTCGTGCCCTTGCAGGCCTATATGCAACCCAGTGTTGTAGGTTCCCCACCTCTGATCTGAACTCCCACAAGGTTCTTAGCTTTTACGATTGTATGTAGGCAGGGGGACTTACTAAGAATGGGTTGTATCCTGCTTGTGCCACAGGGGGGGCTGAGCCACGAGGTCCAGCAGCTTGGGGCAGCACCGGCAGACCAGAGGAGAAGATGCCCAGAGCGTTGAGGTTCAAGCCTGGGATAAGGTTGGCCTGTTGCTGGGACAAGACAACACAGGCACATTTTTTTGGAGTTAGTACAATATCAAAGGAAGACAAATTAAGATGAGAGAGTATTTAATGAGTGGGAACTTTACCCTGGTCCAAGAAACTTTTGGTGAACCATTGTGTGTTTAAACCATGGAAAATACCGTCTAAATTTATGTAGTTGTGGATTTGTTTAGTTAGGTGGTTTGTTCCAGGAACTTCATGAAGAAGAGTGCTTTAAAGTTATCAATTATTCATTTCTATTATTTTTTCTGAAAATAATATATGTATGTATTTTTTTTACTGTTGTCAAGTGAAACATTTCAAAACACGGTGCCATAAAGCACATTAAAAGCATATTTATTTATTGATAAGCGAACAACGGTGACGTTGTACATTTGCTCTTAATCAAGGCACTGGACAACCTCTGCACTAATGCTGCAGAATATGGGGTGTCTTGGCTGGTCCACCAATATTGTATACTGGACCACTAAAATATGTGTGGCATGTAGGATGAGTGGTGAGCATATCCACCTCACAGTTCTGAGCTTGGGGGTACAAATGTGGATTTTGCGGGTACTCTTTACACAAGTGTGATTTCGATTGTGAATGGTTGTTGGTCTACGTTTGCCCTTGGCTTGCCCTTGACGAGTCCAGGCTGTTACGCGCGTCTCGCCCCATGTCAGCTTGAATAGCTCCAGTCCACTCAAGACTCTACCGAGGACAATTGGTACACAGTAGATAATGGATAAAATGTGTGCTCAGAGGTTACCATGGCAACAGCAAAGATACTATTCATTTCAAACAAATGATTTTAAAGTGGCTTGTTTCAAACATACTGCTGCTGTAATATGTCCCATTTTGCCTTCATGCTCACTGATCCTACCTGTGACAACTGTTACACAAAATTAAAGGGTGTTATTAAGGCGAACATTTCTCCTAATTTCAATTCATTGAGTTTCTCCTTGTATTAATGCTCCGTTAACAGCATGATTAACTTGTGGGTAGGGAAAGGAACGTCAGGGCGGGACAGTCTTGTGTAATACATTAACAGTCGCACTAGATGGTGCTCAAAGCTAAGTGCTGACAGGGAATTTTAATTTTCTGAAACAGGGATGGATTTCAGAAGCAACACACTAGTTTACAAATAGTGTGTGTGTGTGTGTGTATATATAAAAATAAAAAGGCTAACATCATTGCTTCAGATGTCAAAAAGTGTTTGCGGCTCCCAGTGTTGTCTTTTCCATGGAAACTGGGTAGAAATGGCTCTTTAGGTGTAAAAGGCTGATGACTCCTGGTATATCCCACATATTTTGAACAGGAAATGAAATGAAAAATGAAATCATTAGTGAATTAAAAAAGACAATCAAAATAAGCACCAACCAGAGAACTAAATTAGAATTTTTTTTGTTTGTTTTTTTACATGGTGCACATGAGGTTCTGCCTCCCATGATGGCAGAGCTCTGTGTTTATCACACAATTGCTGAATAATAATACTGTCAATAGAGTGTTAAGATATTGAGTTTGGCATTAGTTTCTTGGTTTACAACAGGGACTCGTTTTTATAAGTTGGAAGAATAAATATTTGTATGAAAAGCACTTCAAAAATCAATCATGCCTCATATGTGTGCTTTCTTGTGACGACATTCTGAGGCCGCTGTGCAAACTACTTCGTAGCGTGTTGTCAGAACGCCTCTATATTTTCATCTTCTTGTCTTCAGGTAGTAATAAGCTAAGGTGGACGCATACACTTGCTGAACACTTCTGTTTCTTTTTCATTTAGGTTATCAGTACGCAAGAGTAAAATTAGCAATGTTTGTCCAATTAGTACACAAATACTGTTGTTGTCCCCTCAGGCTGCAGCCAGCACTGACTGATGATGTAATGGGGGGGGGGGATCAGGTAGTTGCTGCGAAGGAGCCGCGTTACGGGGACGACTCACACGTGCACAGCGGGAAGAAGTCGGGCGTGAGTCAGAGGCTCTGCCGAGAGTCAGATGACGGTAAAGCGATCGGATGACGCTTTCTGTTTACCAGCAGCTGCTCATTACTGAGCTTACACTGTCTCTCATATACTATGTAACACATACACACACACATACACACAAATGATGAGTTGGCACACACTTACATTTATAGCAGCAACGTCATTCTCATAGGCCTCCCTCAGTTTCTTCATGATTTCTGCCTCTGCTTTACAAAGCGATTCCAAGACGCCCTTCACTGTGATGGTCCTCTCTGGATTGTAAATGGTTAAATCTTGTAACCTAGACCATGGCACACGTATATAAAATACAGATGTGTCACAGCACTGTGCAAAAGAAAATAAGCCATATTTTCCTTGTTACATAGTGGGGTGGGATGGGTTTTAATTGGATTCTAGACTATCTCGCTCAGGAGTTAATGAAGTATGGGCCTTTCAAAACGGGCATAAACATTTGTGCTGATAAACAACACTATTTTTATTAGTACATGTTCATTAAGTTGGAAACACTATGTGCAATTAGAGCATACACCAATATTATTCATAATTTCATGTCCTTGTTAAATATTGAGTTAAATTGTTATTTGCTGATTGCAAGTACACAGTAACGTGTAAGAGACATAATTTTGAGATTATATTTGGGTCAGAGGCAGAGTAGTGGTTAGGATATTCGCCTTGGAGTCAAGACATACTGGGTTCCAATCTGTATGTAGTCAACCCTCCCACACTGCAACATTTTCTAGATACGCGAGATCAAATGAGGAGAGGAAGGGAAGCGGCTTACGAGGAGATGGTTATCTTGGTCCCTGTCTCCTCCTCGATCTTCTTCAGGTTGCGGCCCTCCTTCCCAATGAGGCGGCCTACCAGGCTATTGTGGGCCAGAAGTTTTAGAGGAATCTCCTCCGGCCTGCACAAGTACACACACACACACACACACACACACACACACACACACACACACACACACACACACACACACACACACACACACACGTATGTAGCGGGTTTTTTTGTTTTGTTATTTTTATTCAGTACTTAGAATGTGATTTTCAGTATGTTTTCATATAAATGCATGATATCTATTTTTAAATAGAATGATTCTGCTGTTATCCTTTCTCTCGTATACAGCAAATTTGCATGATGTAAATGGGTTGGATATTAATTGAATCACAATATTTATCGATTGTGTTTATTTATAAATTTCAGGGGTATGGTTGCTCTGGCAATGCGTCCCCTCGCTAAAAGAGGCTTCCACTGAGTAGCGCTAATTTTACTTGAGTTTTCTGTAGATGTTGTTTGCGCCCCCAAAGCTGTGTGTGGTTATTGTACGCTGGTACAGTATTAATGAATTACACCTTGTTTATCAATAAGGGTAATTTGCATAGAGGCGGGCACTTTCTCTGCCACTTACCTCATTTAAATACGTGCAAATAACACTGGCACACAGACACGCATTTTGACATGTATCGTTAGTGACGCATTTTCACCATCTCCGGGTGCTTTGTGAATTACGCACAATCTGTTTGTTCCATTTTTATCGGCGGGCGCCACAAAAAAACCACGCAATCCCTTAGTGAATTTGGCTCTGAGTTTCGGAACGGAAGCAGCACGCTCGGAGCGTATTTCTGAAGGCACCCACAAAGACCGAACGGGGATTTTGGGGACAATGAGCTCTAAAGTTCATGATCTCGGTTTTTGTAAACCAAATTTTCCCTCAAATAAATAAATACATAAATGAAGGAATAAATACACATTTTTGGGGACAGGACTGACTTAGAAGAAAAAAATAGGGAGAAAATACGCAAAATAGTAAGATAAAACGGCAATATATTAGGTTGTGGTCACAAATGAAAATCCTCGCAATAACCAAACCGCAAAATAGCAAGGGAACATTGGACTGAATTTTCCAATTATATTAAAATTTTACTTCTTATTCATTTCTTATTTGATTTTAATACCAAGCATGATCCCCCCCCCCCCCCACGCCCCATCTAATTAAAATTCTACTGTTTATTTTATTTTCTGATTAGTCATGCCGTCTATGTCTGGCCTGAAAATCCAAAGCAAGCATCAAATTCAGTCTTGATGACAGCATCTATTAATTGAGTAATGTTTTCATGATCACATTCCATAGGGGAAGCTTTGTCGAAAACATCTGCTTTCAAGCTCCTAACAAGATAAACAAGCGTGTCAGAAGTTTGAAATGAATAATAAACGACCTCATTATGCCCAGAAAAAAACAAAGTGTGACTGATGAAAAAGACTGGCGCTCCTACATTTGAATTGAAAGGCATACAATTACAAATAAGCGAGATGCGACACACAGAAAGGTGCTGTTAAAAGTCAAAGCCAATTAGATATGTTGTCTGTCTTCCTCTAACGCTAAGCCACCATCACGTTTCAGCCTGTGTGATGTGTGTCGCGTGTTTACTGTGTTAGTGGTCCAAAGCGGGGAGAATGCGCGCTTAGATTAAAAGGTGTGCTGGCAGGCTAAAGGATAAGATTATAGGCTGTTGACGTTTATGGCTAATCCCCTGCGAGACGTAATGTTAACGTGGACTCACGTCTTGGTCTCGTTGGCCTCCTTCTGCATGATGTCCAGGATCATACGGCAGGCTGAGGAGCAGCCCTCTGGAGACGAGTGGATGGTGATCGGCTTCTCGGCTGCGCCCGCGTTCTCCTTCCGATGGATGTCCACTCTGAAAGCAAGACAAGAGTGGAGACAGTTCAGGAACATGCATGTACTGATGAACCATTGACAGTTCGTTTTATATGCACAAGACGTTAACAAATTTGTATCCTCCAAAAATATATTAAATGCTTAATAATATCACATATGCGTATGATGGCTTGAAGAAGCGACTGCTGCGATGGCGGACTCGCCATGCAAGGACGAATTTTAATGTCCTACTCTGCACAGTGTTGTAGAGAGGAGTTATTTGGCCCATTAATTTGGGGAATTTGAGTGACATTTAGGACAAACACTGCACAATAATAAAAAAAATATTAAGATTAGGTTCAAATGTTGTCCATTCTGATTCTTATCATTCATGAACGAGATCAGTTGACAGCAGTCACATGGATTAGGTGCACATTTTTCAAAAAGAGCTGCTCACAATTATCTTCATGTTGAGGAAAGAGGGAAGGGAAGCGGCACTGCACACAGGTTGGTCTCTAGTTGGCTGCAGGTGATCTCTTTTGTGACTGCCTATGAAAGGCATTGATCGACATGTCCCGATCACGTACTTTTCCACAAAATTTAGCAGCGATCAATCAGAGCACCGCATGGGTAGTTGCCCATCTCTGTCCTTGAGTACAGCCATTAACTCATTTGTTTCAAAGAGTGACAAATCTCTAACCAGCTACCTAAGCTGCTTACTTTGACTGCGTCTGCTTGGTGACGTTCTTGATGGTGAGTCCCTCCTTGCCGATGATGGCACCCACAAATTGAGTGGGCACGAGCATGCGCAAAGGAAAGTCCTGCTGCTGTCGGGGCCGTGGCGCACCAAAGCCTCCTGAAGGTCCGGGCTGAGGGGTCTCCTGGTCCCGTGACAAGCGGCCGCCGCGTCGACCTCGGGCGGCCTGGACGGGCGGAGCAGCATCCAAGTCCATGATGTACGACACCCTCAAGGAGAAGTCGTCGCACTGCTGTCCTGTCAACTTCTCAATGGCTCTGGAGGGTCGATGACCAACAGCAAATATTTGGCAACATGAAAACTCATTTCAATTGAATCTGTCGACAGCTAAGCAATCAAGCCGAATTTGGTCATTTTTTCCTTGAGGCCTGTGGTGTGGAGTTTGGATTTTTTTTTTTTTTTAGCTTTGTATGCTGTGCATGGCTCTCAGTCGTTGCACTCACTCTTTAGCTTCTTCCTTGGTTGCGTATGTAACATTCACCACTGCTGTTTCTGTGTCAGTGTTGACTGTAAGAGAAGAGGCATACATCAGAGGTAGATGACATGAGATGCCATCATCATTATGTAACGACAACAATCTCCTGGATCACTGCTCTCGTTCTAATAGCTCAATTTCCGAAGTGACAAACGAGTTGAGCTGCTTTGTTGCCAATCGGCCATCAATTTTAGACCGCATTCCACTGACAGTCACATCAACAAACATGCAAAACATTGCCATTCGTATGAACTTCAAATGGAAAACTATTGCTACAATTAAAAATAGCAGGGATCCATATGATCAATATGATGAAATAAGACATAGAAGATTGGTTTACCTTGTTCCACGTTTTCTACAGTACCATATCGAGCTAGGAGACCGTCGAAATCCTAATGGAGAGATGATACCGTCAGTTCGGTGAGTGGGGACGCAGACAAAAAAAAAGAATATGACAGACAACCACATGGATTTACAGTAATAAAGTAGTTAATTCAATGTCATCAGTCTGCATGCATTATTCTGCCATGTATCTCCTTAAATAATTGGGGCATTGCTACAATTGAAAATATCAGTAAAATAAAGACTTTACTTATGTTTTTTAATTATTTTATAAATGGATTCAATAATTATAAGTACATTTATTATAAGTATGATTAAAAAAGGAGAAGTGATTACTTTATTATTCAAATTAAGCATATTACCTGTTTTAAATACACATTTCTACAAATGTTAACGTCATTTATTTTCAAAGGATCTGGCCCATCTGTCTGTTTTAAAAATTAAATGTGGCCATTGGGGATAAGGTTTGATCATCCCTGATTTATATTTTATACAGTGGCACATAGAGCCTTTTTGTATGCTTGGTAAACATCTGCAACTGATGTTTATGAACAAGTAGGCCGTCTCTAATGGACCATGTTAGACTGTACAAGCACCCACTATGTGAACATTTACATCAATGTCATGACAAATTTATTTTGTATTGTCCTTTCTCGTCAATGTTCTGCAACATATTGCAAATTTTGCAGTTCGAGTCTACATGAAAAACAGACTCCACTAAAGAAGCTTGAGGAGATGCAAACAAGTGAGTCAACAGCTGAAATGAGGCAAAACTTCAAATTTAATATACTACTACTACTACTTTATGCTGTTTGGACACGCACAAAACACGTACACGCAACTCACCTCCCACTGTAGATGAGGGGGAATGTTCCGGATCTGAATCTTCCGACTCCTGCGGAGAGGGGAGACACAGTGAATTTAATGAAGGAGGCAGGTAGCCATGCACACAGGAATCCTCACGTCTCTTTATATCCATTGTCTCATTTCGCACATCCTAAGTTAATTACATGCGGCCCCCACCCCTCTCGTTCTATAAATGAATGCATAAACTATTTGAAAGTTTCACAGTTCATTTTTTTCGTCCAAGGGGCAATATTTCCTTGAGATGAGGAAATGATTAGCCATGCTACGTAACACCTCCCAGTTGTTCTTTTTGCAGGGGAGATGATGCCTTTTCACGGATAGTTACTCCCGTCTTGATACAACTCGTAAGTGTGTCTATGTTGCCATGGTTACGCCTCACTTACATCATCACTGTCCAGCCGCCTCACTGCCAGGCTTAGTGAACGTCTTGAAAAATACAATGGAATCAAGTCAAACATCCCTGAGTCCTAAAAATGCACCAATGTTTTGTTATATTGAAATAATTTAATTTCATTTTAATAGGAGTTAACGTTTTCTATGACAAACCTCTATTTTTTTTTAATGTGTTTTTTTTTTTTGCGCATATCCTGTTGACACACTTGAATGACAGTAAATGATAAAATGTTACTACCTGAACAGAAAATAAATGTTTCATGATGGGGACAGATTTAAAATGATGAAATTATTATTTTAGGTCTATTTCCGATGCGAAAACTGTTTTCCAAACAGTAATTAGTCAGCGACTGGGGTGATGAACGCTGAAGAATAGTTCATCCATAATACTGTAGTTTATTTGACACTCTCACGATCAAAACTATTGAAAGAATGGAAGATATAAAGTGATGTCGCCACTAAATTCCCAATATGGGATGGTCATCATGCAACATGCGAGCCTACTCAATAGAAGCTTGAACTTCTAACCTTCTGATTAGCGTTTCAACTCTTAATTTACTAACTTAAATTATTCCATTAAAAAAAAAAAAATCGAAGCAAAATCTCTTTGTTGAAGCTCCACATAGATCATATTTTCCACACAGGCTAATGTTACAGGCGGCGCAGGCACCGCCCTGTGTAGAAGTAAGTTGGCGTGTTGTCGCCAAGACAGGAGGAAAGACGGAGAATGTCCGAAATTTGGGATCATTTCACACTGAAAAAGAATGTCAGCTAATTTCATATAGCTCAACACCACTAGCAAGAACATGTAATGACCCGTTTAAACGCAGCCATCTGCACATTTTCAATCGTTTTATTGAACAAACGGAAGCAACATGTATTATATTCGGACAAAAAAAGCTTCCGCGGCCACAAATATCCCAGGCACTAAACGCACAGATTATCTAACTTGCTCCAACAGCCAACGACGCTCTCAATCGCAGATGAAGATGTCTCTGACTGGGCCAAGGCCCTGTCTTTTAAAGCCACTTTAACACATCATTGACAGTACGTTAAAAGTGAGCGTTACTATGTTTGTAAAGGCATTTCCCCCGATGGCTCTTTATATTGTCTCCTTCCTCCATCTAGTTTATTCTTGCGCCTTTCCTTGCGGGTGAGCTTTGGGGCGAGAGGTGAGATACAAACCCTGGAACAGTATTCGGCCCATCACAGGGCACATATAGACAAATATGAATTCATAATGGTGGAAGTCAGAGTACTCAGGCGAACACACACCTTCCAAAAAGCGAAGCCTGAGATTCGAACCAGGAACGAGCTGTACTAACCACTGCCATGTGCCCAGATCACAAGCTACAACTACCATAATAAACATATTGTCAAAATCTCATCAGTTGAGTCCAGTGAGCGTAAAAGTGCATTATGAAAGAATGAAAGCCAAGATTGTTTCACAGTAGCTGCATGTACACATTTACCAGCTCTTGGTATTACATTTCCACATCGTGCTGTTTTATCACTCCAATTCCGCATTTATAGCTGACACAAAGGCGCCCGTTGACCACAAAGAGTGAGAAACAACACAAACACAAGTAGCGCAGTCAACATGAGCGTTACGATTTAAAAAAGAAGCAGACATTCATGTGGAGGGGGGAAAAAAGCACACACTCGCGCAAAACCCCAAAGTCCTTAAGAGCACTTTGGAGGACAATTAGCAGACATTCCAGGAGCTGAAGTGATGGGTAGAGCGGGAGGAAAGGTGAAAGTGGGAGAAATTAGCGTCTGCGGTGGGCTGGCAGGCATTCCTCTGAAGAGGTTTTTGCATCTTTCTCGGAAAAGAGCGCAGGTCAGAGTTTTGCACAAGCAGGCAGCGAGACATGAATGAATAACTTTTTCTGATTGTGCTCCTCCAGGAAAAAAGAAAAAAAAAGAACGGAAAAAGAAGCGTATGAGGAGGCGGAGAGGGGGTGAGAATCACAGATTTAGGACATTCCACTCTTCACCTCATTCATTCAATACTGCAAACAAATTAGTTTAAATGTGTTTGACATGTGCGCCATGCCGCGACTAAACTAGGCTTGAAATTGATTTTGCATTGGAGTCAGTGGATGACTTCTGCACCGTTACTCGGAACTCTCCATGTATTGTAAGCACTTTGTCTCGCCGCAACAGCTCAACCAAAATGTCAAAGTATGAGCGGGGGAAAAAATACAGCTCAGTAGTGCCTGTTTGGATCCTACAAGTATTTCGAGTGAGGTCTTCCCTATTGATTGTGCTAATGGACCCCAGTGATCTGTGCTCGCGTGCTGCACTTGGTGCTGCTACATCGTATTCGCCGGATCAAATGTCAGCCGAGCTGAACTCCAGAAAGGGACTCCCTATGAAAGGCTGTTGCCAAGTCGAAATGAAGGCCATTATACGACGAGTACTTCCAAACAGAAAGCAACAGGTATTATCCAAATACGCCCAACACAATGGATGCCACAAAACGTGTATATAAAGTATACTGAAATAATGATGATCTCGTCTCTCTTTACTCACAAATTGACTTGATGTGAAATCTGGAGAGCTACTATATATTTATATATATATATATAAAATAATGCCTTAGCGCATTTGATTATACTCTACAAAAACTCCAGTAACTCATCACTAATGAAAACAATGGAATCATAATGAAAAAAAAATTGTATTACATATTTGGTCACAAAGTGTTTAAGTGTGAATGCTCATCTCTTAGTATTAACCTAAAAAAATAGAACCACTGTGGGAGAACACCCTCACTGACCTCACATTTCTTTATATAAAATTATGGAAACTGACATACCGGTAATCATATTCCACCGTTTATATATTACTCCCATACGCCAGAGACATATTGTCCATGTGAGGTCCATCGAAGACTATAAATTAGGTGTGAAGCTGAGTCTAAATGGTTGTTTGTCTATTTTTGCCCCGCGATCGGCTACTGGTTAGTCCAGAGTGTAAAGTCAGCTGGGCTAGGCTCCAGCTCATTCACTCGGATGATCGAGCGCTGTGCAAAATGAACACCTGGAGGGCTGTCTCTTTTTTTTTTTTTAAATTGATGATTCCATAGCTGCTCACCATCGACCATAGTAAGTGCCGTAGAAAACAGATGGCTGGATGGAGTTTGAATGCAATCTGGACTTGCTGCACTCTCACTAGATAGTCACAATATTTTGTCATGTCTATCAAATGAACAACATTTTTGTTATAAGGCCGTTGTTTGGGTGTTGTTCAAATGCACACATTGCAATCCTGAGTGAGTATCCTGTGGCGTCTGCTGTGTGTCAAGAGGGATTTCTCCTTTTTGCATATTGTTGCTTGCATGCTCTGTTTGCACAAACGAGTGATCCGTCGCTGCCCTTCCTCTTTCATGTGCCTCACCACACATGCCACTTGCTTGCCTCGTCGCTCCCAAATATGCAACTTCCTGGATTTTTATGGAAAAAGTGACACTTGCCTCGTTTCATTTTAAGCATGCCTGTGGCTACACGCTAGGCAGAACATCCCCCGCCCGTCTGTCTGTCTGTCTGTCCGTCGGTAGGGATGGGTGACACCCATGACACTGTGGACTATTTTGTTTACATGCACATGCACAAGGTGAACCCAGAGGCCTTCCTCAGCACCAAACGAGATGAGGATTCACCCTGAATGGTCACTTAATGTACGGTGAATGCAATAGCTGACCGGCCGCTGTTTTGCAGCCTCCTGCCAACAAGAGGGAGGGAAGGAGGGAGGGAGGTGAGAGGCATGAGAGGGGGGTTGAAATCCTCTCACTTTGGCCTTTAAATAGCCAAGGGTGGCCACGCTCATTTGAAAAACTAATATTTACTGCTTCCACCTGCACCAGCTAAATCGCTGTGTCCGTGCACAAGCACACAGGGCGGTCCGGCGGATTTGGACTAGCGAGAGGGCGGGGCAGGAAAGAAGCTGCTCACCCGTCAACTCTTGCTGAAGACGGGTGACATCATTCACAGAAGTCTCAAAAGGAGACAAATCACATGACCACTCCCAGTATAGGTTTCACTCTGACTGTATGGCCAGCACTAATAACTGTACTCCCAGCGACTAAATGAAGTCTCCTCAGGTTGACATTTCTGTGAATTGAATGAAATATTTGAGCTATTTGCAATTTTAATTTTGAATAATAATATTGGAATTTGAGTTATCCCATGCAACTCCAATTCTTTGAAGGTATTGAGAATTTCTGTCTCTAGCTAAAAGTGCTAACGTTTTTCTTCAAATCGATTGATTGATGTAAGGCATATAACCTGAAATAATTCAAGTGATTTGTAACAGCTGATGGATTTTTGCTGTTGTTATTCTATCAACAAATTAAACAATTAGCTTACTTTCTATTTGATGAACTGGTGGAGTTTTATAGTGTTTTATTGCCGCTATCCGTGTTTAAACACAAATATGTGTTTGTTGTTGTGCAGTATTTTACTTGCCTTTTGCAACTGCCCTGAAAAACAGTTTGCAAAAAAAAAAAAAAAAAATAGCGCATCGGTGAAATTATGAAGCTATACCTTACTGTTTGCCACACAAAAAGAAATAGGATTTTGTTATGCCTTTGAGTAACTCATCATATCACCAGTGGGAAGAATGAGAGAGAGA